CCGGGATTTCCACGCCTTCGCGCTCTCGGGAGCCACGCGAGTCCTGGAGTGGGCTGGGGACAAAGGTATCGGGCCCTCGGGGGTGCGGCTCACGGGTGTCCCCCGCCCCGGACACGGGCTGCACGTGGCCGCCTTCCTGACGATCCCGCCGCTCTTCCCTCCCTCCCCCCCCAGGAGTGTTGGTTGCCGGCTACGAGAGCCAGAAAAAGAATGAGATTCTCCATCTGCTCCTGCCGCTCAGACTGTCTGTGACGGAAAACCAGGTGACTGGAGATGGGCCTGCGGGTGCACGGTCTGGTTTTAGTAGGCCTCCTGTCACCTCCCTGGTTACTAGAAAGACAGACGGGCACAGGGAGGCACATCTGCACCGTGATGTGCGGGCACTAGGGAACGGAGGGCACCGAAGGTCACCTAGAATAAACCTACACTAGGATTCAGAGAAGACAGCTAAGGGCAGAGCCTCAGGGCATATTAAGAGTACAGGAAGGTGAACCCAGGAGGAACACTAAGAAAGACCAAGTAGGAGGAGTCCAGGAAAAGAAGACAACAGAAGAGAATAAGTGTGTCAAGAAGAAAAGAGTTGGTAGCTAAGTTAGGTTGCAGTAGTCTTTTTTTTTTTTTTGGTGGGTTGTAGGGCTTGAACTCTGGGCCTGGGTGCTGTCCCTCAGCTCTTTTGCTCAAGGGAAGCGCTCTACCACTTTGAGCCACAGCGCCAGTCCCGGTTTTCTGGTGATTTTTTTTTTTTCCTCATGGACTTGCTTGCCCAGGCTGGCTTTGAACCTTGATCCTCAGATCTTAGCCTCTTGAGTAGCTAGGATTACAGGTGTGAGCCACCAGCACCTGGCTCGTTTCTTCCTTTCTTCCTTCCTTTCTTTCTTTCTCTCTTTTCTTTCTCTCTCTCTCTCTCTTTCTTTCTCTTTCTTTCCTTTTTTGGGTCCGGTTGTGGGGCCTGAACTCTGGGCCTGGGTGCTGCTGTCCCTCAGCTCTTCAGCTCAAGGCTAGTGCTCTACCACTTGAGCCACAGCGCCACATCCGGCTTTTTTTTCTTGTTGCTTATGTGGTGCTGAGGAAGCAAACCCAGGGCCTCATGCATGCAAGGCAAGCACTCTACCACTGAGCCACCTTCCCAGCCCCTCATTTCTTTATAATTTGTTTTATGAGGTGTTTTCGTACGTGCAGACCTGCAGCAGAGTCACTTGGAGGAGGAGTGGAGAATTTACTCGTTAGTCTGGTAATCGGGAAACTCTTGGTAATGTCTTTCACCGAGGTCACCACATTTTGCTAATGGTGGTCAAGGGCAAAGACAGAGAGGAAGCGGAAGTGAAAATATAGGGATAGGGAAGGGAGAAACCAGAGCAGAGCCTGGCTGGGAACACAGATTTACGTCAGGGTTTCTGAGACCAGAGGCTTGAGCACAAGTACTGGCTGTGAAGCAGTGGCCCCAAAGAGGGAGAAAGTGAAACATGAGGCTGAGGGAGGGTAGAGGGAGAGAGGGAATGCAGGGGTGAGGAACAGCAGGCAGGCCAGTGCCTCCCACCTACACCTAGCGGCCGTGGAAGCTGTGGGCAGCCTTGCCTCGCTTGTCTGCCCCGTGCTCTGCCCAGCGCTCTTCACCAGCACTAGCCCATCTCTCAAGCTGAGTCAGATGCTCCCCAGCTGAGCCTCTAGGAAACCCCGTTTCCTGCCCTCTCACTGCCCGCTTTGCTCCTCTAGGAAACCCCGTTTCCTGCCCTCTTACTGCCCGCTTTGCTCCTTTTCTCTTTGGCCACTTCCTTTCTCCATTCCTGATCTTGACACAGATGTCAGCCGTGGCAAGACTGGCAGACCGCGGCTCTGGCTCACAACTTCATTCCTATGTGGCCGTGGAGGTGGAGCTCCAGCAGCTGGGCCTTGTGTGGATAATGGCGGGACCTGCGCCATAGGGGTCATGAGAATCAAATGTAGAGCCTAGCACAGGGCAGCAGGTGCTTGGTGGGTGGTGCCAGCTGTGCCCGCTGGCTTCTGGCGCGGAAGAAGAGATGGGAAGCCTTAGTGGGCCGCTGGCCCTGGCATTCCTGGGTGACCCTGAAGCTCTGTGGCTCCCCCAGGCGGCTGGGGGTGCTGGAGGACTGCTGAAGGCCTGAGGTGGGGAGGGGAGGTCAGCTGTCACAGGAAGGCCATGGCCTCTGCCAGGCCAAGGTCTGCCTCTTCCCTGGAGCTCCTGGAATGTTCCTTGAACAGCATGCTCTGTCTAATTGCTGCCGCTTCCCTTTGCATCCTAGGGCTTATGCCCAGAAAGGGATTTCACAGTGCGCCATGGAGGATTTTCTGACAAGTCTATCTTAGCGCTGAAGCACGTGCCAGACACCAGGTAAGGAAGTTCTGTGCCCCACACCTTCCGTTCTGGGTGCAGTGGGGGGCAAGTCAGGGCGCCTGCCTCTTTATCAGCACCCACCCCCAGAACACAGACATATTCACAATACAAAGGCCTTGGGCTGTTTTGGGATCACTGGGGGTTGCTTCAGGGACTAAAAACCAGTGAGAAGGCTGCTCTTCACTTCTCTGCAAGCTGACCGGGTAGCAGGGGCAGCTGTGCCTCTGGGGCTGGATTACAGGTTTGACCCTCACCAGTGTCATCTTCTGGGTGACCATCAGGACCTGGGTTGGCCCAGACTCACTCCCGTGGCTCTCGATGAGCAGTGGAGCTGACCCCCGCAGGGCAAGCCTGCGCTCTGTGGAATGATGGCTGATGGTCCTGCAGTGGGATTTCCTTCTGGGCTCCTGCTAGGCGGTGGGAGTGGACTTAACACTTCCTCTCTGTCTGGCATAGGTTGCTGGTGACCAGTGGCCGTCCTGGAGGCCACGTGCAGGTGTGGCAGGCTGCACAGGACAGTGGTGAGTGACTCCACGTGGCGAGGTAGAGGCTTGCGGAAGGGCGTGGCTTACCTTGTGTGCCTGTTCTGAGAAGCACTCAGAGCCAGAGGCGGCAAAAGGGGGCAAGAGCCCGTATAAAGTGGAGTTTTCCAACCTGGCTGGGGCTAAGCAATGGGAACTGTAGGCCCGTCCACTGGGCAGGGCTGGGCAGAGGCTGCCCTGCTGCTGCCTCAGTTTCCCACCGGCCTTGCCCAGGCTTCACAGCAAAGGCGGTTCTGTTCCTTGCACCTTGTTGGCTGAGGTCTCTGGGCTTGCTGCGCTTCCTCTCTGTCCTGCCCCCTAGTGTCCGGTTGTTGGCATCCCTTGTAGTTGTGGCCGGTGTTTTTAACAATCTTATCAGAGTATTTTTTTGTTTAGTTTTTGGCTATATTGGATTTCAACTCAGGACCTCATCCTTGCTAGATAGGCTGTCTACCACTTGAGCCACATTCCCAGGCCTTTCTACTTTATTTTTTCAGATAGGGTCTTGTGCTTTTGCCAGAGGCCAGTACCGACTAACAGGTCTACCTCCACCTTCCCCATACCCGAAATTACAGGCAAGAACTGCCTGTCCATGCTCATTTTTTTGCTTGTTTGTTTTTGGGTCCAGTCATGGGGCCTGAACTCTGGGTCTGGGCGCTGTCCCTCAGCTCTTCAGCTCAAGGCTAGCTATCTACCACTTAAGCCACAGTGCCACTTCTGGCTTTTTTCTTTTTTGCTTATGTGGTGCTGAGGAATCGAACCCAGGGCCTCAGGCATGCAAGGTAAGCACTCTACCACTGAGCCACCTTCCCAGCCCCGCGCTTATTTTTTTGTTGTGTTGTTTGCTTGGCTGGTGGGTCTACCACTAGAGCCACACCTCTAGTTCCCAAAGTTTTGTCATAGTTCTAAGGGGTTTATAGTTTGAATGTTAATTTTTGTGTGTAGCAGGAGGGTCCATGTCCAGTTGTCCAGTCAGCATTTTCTGAGAAATTCATCCTTTCTTTCTTGGTTTGGCTTGGCATCTTGTCTGAAGATCAGCTGATCATAAATATAAGGGTTTATTTAGCCCTAGACCCAGACCCATTCCATTGATCTATGACTCTACCCTATACCAGTAAGTTAGTTACTGTTTTCTTTTCCCAAATAAAAGGCAGGGAGGGGCAGCAAGGAATGGCCATGAGAGAGGAATGAGTCTTGGCAACCATTTGATCTCAGGTGTCAGGGCCTGCAGTGGAGCCTGGGGCTTAAGTTGGGAGTCTGGGGGCAGGGTAGGAAGAGCTTCCTCTGACACAACATGCAGAAAGTTAGGTAGCATCATCTGTCACGTTCCTCCGGATATCAGCGAAAAATGCTCCAGAGCTGAGGGAAGGCCTGCCAGCTTTTTCTAGGAGCCAAAATGGACAGTGTTTTCTTTCTTTTTTTTCGTCAGTTGTGGGGTTGAACTCTGAGCCTAGGCGCTGTCCCTCAGCTCTTCAGCTCAAGGTGAGCTAGCAATCTACCACTTGAGCTACAGTGCCACTTCCACGGACAGTGTTTTCTTGATGAATTTTCCATAGCTCTGGTGTCTGAGAAACCTGATTTTGTGGGTATGTCAGTACAGAGCTAATCTGTTGGAAACAAAGAAATGAAAAATGAAAATCAGAATTTCCCTTTAAGTCACTGGTGCTGAGCAGGCTGAGGCAAAGTCAGACCCAAGCCGATTCCACTCACCCGAGCCTGGGTTTGTTCCTGGTATGCAAAAAATGAGGCCGCTCTCATCCCCAACTTACACTGCAGTCCGTGGCCTACGGCCCACACCCTCACAGTGCGCCCTCCACTACCAGACTCCAGCGCATCACTGGAGGTCACAAGTTTGAAGGCGCAATAATCACTCCTGAGTCTGTTCCTGTTATTTTTCACAAAGGGTGAAAGTGACATCCTGGTGTCGTTCACCCTTTTCCTGTTATCCATCAAGAAAATACCAGGCCTGTTTGTTGAGTTCTGAGCTGTGTGTGCAAAAACAGCTCATAAAACATGATAATCTGGGAGCCAATGGCTCACGCCTGCCATCCTAGCTACTCAGGAGGCTGAGATCTGAAGATCATGGTTCAAAGCCAGCTCAGGCAGGAAAGGCCATGAGACTCATCTCCAGTAAACCATTCAGAAAACCGGAAGTGGTGCTGTGGTTCAAGTGGTAGAGTGCTAGCCTTGAGCTGAGGGACAGTACCCAGGCCCAGAGTTTAAGTCCCATGACCAACCAAAAAAAAAAGATAAAGAAATGGCAGTGATCTGGACAGTTTCCAAAATGTCCTCCATCTGCTGTCAGCTCCCGTCCTTGGCCTCTGTGCCCTGGGCCTCACCGCTAAGGTAGGTCCTCACGAACTCCAGATCTCAGCCTCTTCCCTTTCCCCAGATGTCCTTGCAGCCGTCGGCACCATTGCTGTGGCTGAGGGGGAGAGGAGTCTCTGGCCGAGGTTGGCTGTCCTCCCCTCGGTGGCACCCGGCATCCTCCACGGGGCGCGGCTCAGTGGCCTGAAGATCGTAGACCTGGAATCCCACAAGACCACGTATTGTTCAGGTACTGCCCGGGAGCTGTGAGGGTACTGTGAGGGTACTGCCCGGGTACTGTGCAGGTACTGCCCGAGTACTGCAAGGTACTGCTCAGGTAACAGCACAGTCTGTGGAGGTCAGCACCTGCACTGGCTCCTCTGCCACCCGGCCCTGGCGTTTGGAATTTACTTGAGGTTTCTGTGGAGACGCTGGGAAGCGGGTGCTGGTGCTGGGGGTGGAGGGGCCCCCTAGAGCACCCACCCGGATAGGCATGCCTGGTCATGGGTGTGAGCTGGGAGGCACGGGGTGTCGTCAGCACCCTGCAGCTTGTCTCTTTGCTGTGGCCTTCCAGGGGTTGAAGACGGTGAGGAGCTGAGCTGCCTGCAGGCCCTGGACGCTGACACCTTTGCTTTCTGCAGTGCCTCTGGCCGTCTGGGGCTGGTGGATACCCGCCAGAAGTGGGCACCAGTGGAGACCCCCAGACCCAGCCCTGCGTCGGGGGGACAGAGGTGGTGCGCAGAAGTCAGGGACCAGGGCCCTGGGCCCTGCATCGCCAGCCTTGGCTCGGATGGACAGCTCCGCCTTCTCGACCCCCGGCAGCTCTGCCACCCTGTGAGCGCAGTCCAGTGCCCAGTGCCCACGCCCAGCCCAGACCCGGAGCTGCTGCGAGTGACCTGGGCCCCGGGCCTGAGCAACTGTCTGGCCATCTCAGGTACTGCTGGGAGGGGTGCGCCTATGGCTGACCTCTCTTCAGGGGGGATGGTGTGCAGGAAGGAGCTGCCCCACCAGAAAACCTGGCTTCTGTTACAGCCGCCCACAGACGGCTCCCGCTTATCTTCCTGGCCCTCGGCTCCTGGCTACTAAACTTGCACACACTGTGTGAGCCTAGCAGAGACCCATGGCATAGGAAGACCAGGGAACTGCCATGAGGTGGCCCCAGAAAGACGTGACAGTCTCAGGGTGCTGTGTCTGAGCAAGTGAGGGCCCAGCTCCTAGGCGGGGCACCTGAAGCCACTGCACAGCCCGAGTCTGAAAGGGCCCCAAGAAGGCAGGGGAGGAAGCGTAGGGATCCACAGAGCAGTGAAGAGAGAGGGCAGGTGTGGTCTGGTGTGGCGTGGCCTGGTGTGGCGTGGCTTGGGTCCGTAGGCTTTGTTCCTGGGGAGGCTGAGGCCTGCCTGATGCACCTGTGAGGGCTCAGGGTGGCACACCAGGGCGAGCCTGGCCTGGCAGGGAACGGTGGACCGTGGGGCTCATGGCAGCTGCACGCATGTGCGCACAGGCAGGGACATGGTGAGTCTGTCCCCATCAAGCCTGGTCTGTGGCCCATCTCGGTCCCCTGGCAGTTAGGAAGTGCCCTGGACCTCTGCGGCAGCCTTTTCTTTGCTCGTCCTCAGGTTTTGATGGGACAGTCCAGGTCTATGATGTCACTTGCTGGGACCCGGCGGGGAGCCACGCAGAGCCTGTCTTCACGCACAGAGGCCACATCTGCCTGGAAGGAAGTGAGGTGGACCCCGCCCCACTGGTCACCACCCACACCTGGCACCCCAGCAAGCCCAGGACTGTGCTGTCAGCAGCCAGCGATGCCTCCCTGCACGTGTGGGACTGGGTGGACCCGCGCACCCCCTGCTGACCCCAGAGCCTGCCTGCCCCGCCTGGAGGAGGGGCTTGATGTGCAGGACCACGTGATCCCACGGCCCAGCTGCCAGTTGGCGCCTGTCACTCATCCAGGCTTCCCTGGCTTCCATTTTCTTAGTTCTCTTTTTAACCTTTTTTAAATCAAAGTCTTACCAAGTATCCCTGGCTAACCTCAAATTGTGAGTTGCTGGGACTACAGGTTTGCATCACTGTGGCTGGCTGATTTTCTTAAAAGTAAGGATAATAGTAACTACCTCTTGGGGTTAGAAGTTGGCGGGGCTCCTGGCAGTCCTGCCTGGCTGCGGTTGGTGTGGGAACCCTGCTTCCAACCTTCTGCCTCCCAAGGGCAGTGGGGCACAGCAAGACTCAGAGAGCCAGGAATGTAAATGCATCATTGAGCTTGAGAGAAAAAAGTGTATGAGAGGCTGGGAAGGTGGCTCAGTGGTAGAGTGCTTGCCTTGCATGCATGAGGGCCTGGGTTCGATTCCTCAGCACCACATAAGCAAAAAGAAAAAATCCAGAAGTGGCGCTGTGGCTCAAGTGGTAGAGCGCTAGCCTTGAGCTGAAGAGCTGAGGGACAGCGCCCAGGCCCAGAGTTCAGGCCCCACCACTGGA